TGTTGTGTCCCTGAGCGCTTATGACTTCGGACGTGCAACTCTATAACGGATGGCTAACGGCTTGATTACAAGGAATAAAAAACAAGACAATCAAATCAAGAACAACAATGATTGGGCTTAAGACGACCCTCTAATTTTTTTATACAACATGTGATCTTTTAAGGTCTACCTCAACCTTTCTCAGCATAAGTTGAATCTAAAACACCCACCCTCCTAATAAGATCATTATATGGTCGATGTTTACTGTGATCATATGGTCGACATTTATTGTGAACAAACATCTAAGATGACTCTCTCCGAACTTGTCTGTCACAGGAGCTCTACTAACCCTTTCGTGGATACATTCATTTCACATTTTGTCTCTTAAGTTTCAAGCCACTCATCCACGTAAGTATTTTCATCTCCGCAACACTTAACTTAGTTTTATGCTTCTCTTTTAAATGCCAACATTCTACGCCATAAAGTATTGCATGCCTCGCTGCCTTTTTATAAAGTTTTTCTTCAAGTCTAAGCAGTATTTTTCTATCACACAGTAGGCACATTGCTTTCCTCCACTTCAACCATCCAACTTGAATTCTACTAATAACATTCTCATCTATATCAACATCACTATGATCAATAGACTCGAGATACTTAAAACGTTCACTACTTTTAATGATTTGATCATTCATTACCACATAAAAAATGTCGTCACTGAAAAACATACCTTCCTCAATGGTTTCTAGTAGGGGAGAAAAATGAGAGTTTCGATTGTCTCTGTAAGTAGCGATCCCGTCGTTGCCTTCTCAAGTAGCTCTAATGGTGAATGTATCACGAAGGTTTGTTCACGAAGGCAAGGGGTTTGAGAAAAACCGGGAGGGGGGAGGGAGATAAGCGAGGGTTTCGTTGGAGATAGTCGAAACCAAGAGAGGTAGAGGTCGTAAGCGAGGTTTTTCGGGATTTGGAAGGAATAAATGAGGCTTAAGGAATGGGAACTGAATTTAAGGGCATTTGCGTCGAAAATAATTTGACACAATTAAGTATGTGCTTTCGTCAACTTCTTTGACGCAATTACTGTAGCATCTAAGTTCGACGTTTTCAGTTTAGTATTTGCATTGAATTATTTGTTGCCAATCAGACACAAAATCCGACGCAAATCAGCCAAAAATCTGACTCTAATATTTGCATCGAAAAAGATTTGGCGCAAATATCGGACGCTACTTCAACGTCTCCTGTAGTGAAAGATTTAACATCAGGTTATGTTTCCATCAAAATATGAGAGGAGTTTTGAATCTAACAATCCTGCTTGACATTTTCTTAATTAGATATGTGGTTGTAAGCACTGCATCTCCCCAAAACAAAATTGGGACATTGTGAGAAAACATTTTAGAACTAGATACCTGTAGATGTCTTTTTTTTTCTCTCTGATTTCCCATTTTTTTGTCGAGTCTCAACACAAGAACTCACATGAATTATATAGGATCCAAGGATTGGGCTGAAGTATTTCATTTGCATTATCAATTTTGAGAATCTGAATTTTGTATTATAACTTCCTGCAAATCATGCCATGTAAGGACATAAAGCTTTGTTTAGCTTTAGATTTCTACTTCATGAGAAATATTTCATTGGTTCTAGTGTGATCATAAATGAAGAAGACATCATTTGACTCTATTGATAGTTTTCAATTTTGATAAAAGAGAAAAGATATGAGAGTTTGTACTGAGACAGAGGATATACATGACGAATATGTTTAGTCAATTGACAAGTTTACACTGATAAAATTGTAGCTTTTTATTAATAAAGTGATGGGGGTACAACTTTACAATATAATCAAAATTGGGACGATCCAGGCGACAATGTCATAATAGAACATGACTTCCAACAGACTCGGGAACATTAGAAGATCATGGTGGAGAAGACACTGTGTGTTAAAAGAATAATTCTTCTTAATCATGCATAGTCATGAGTAAACCCTAATCCCTAATTCAACACTGTCAATTACTTTTCTCGAATCTACCACTTAAAATTCACAAGAGTTAGAATGAAATTTAGTAACATAGTTCAAGTCACGAGTAAATTTGCTAATTGAAAGCAAGTTGCAATCTTGACAGAAGAAATATGAATATGTTTGGAGACTTTCATTTCTATTTTTTCAACAATCCTGAAGTGAGATTCATCGACGAGTCTAACAAATTTAGAGGTGGTGATCTCTTGGCAATTTGTGAGATCATGAATGTCTCTAGTCATGTGATCAGAAGAACCTAAATCTATTAGCCAAAGTCAAAATTTTTCATTGTTTGTGGATAGGAGGATATGATACCTCGGCGTATCATCAAGCTGGTAGGTTGCTCGGTCTTGCTAGTAAGAAGCTTCTTCAACACCTCCAGTTGTTCATTGGTGAAGGGACCAGGTTCGGCCAACCCTTCAGAAGAGTTAGCAGCATGGGCATTATTGTCTTGGTTCATTTCCCCCTTGTCCTGGTTTCTAATTTACAGGCTTTCCATGTAGATTCTAACATTTGTTCTTTGTGTGACCAAGTTTTTTATATTATTCACAGAAAGAATAATTCTTATTTGGCTTTGAATCGTGAGAGTTGTGTGTGTACAAAGTTGAGCTTCCGGTGCTAGATGGACTCACATTTCTTGTCATCATGAGCTTTCTCCTTCTTTCTTCTCTTCTAACTTCAGCAAAGGCTTCCCTAGTGGCAGGGAGAGGCTTCATCTCTATTGCTATCCCCCTGACATCATCTAAGCTCTTTGATTATCCTCTTCTTCTCCACTATTGTTTTATAGTCATAACTTCTTGCGAGTAGTTCCATACATATGTAATTGTGACAAGTACATTGATAGTGTGTTGAAATATTGAATAAACCTCAATTCTTATTATCGGAGCTCATGCAATTTTGTCTCAATCTCAAACAATTCTGTAATATTTTTGGGTACTAAAAAGGTCTCTCAGGTTGCTTTTCAAATCTTCTGTGTCGTCTTGTAAAGCAAGAAAATTTTCTCCAAATTTTGTGTTCATAGAATTTATTAACTAAGACATATGATCATATGATCCGGAATTTTCCATGCTCGCTAGTTAGGATCAGTGAGCTCAATAACTATGTCCTCTCAAGTGAGATGTTCCTTTTATCATTTTTCACAAATGTACATAAACACGGATTGGGATCATTGAAGGAAATTATGGTCATTGATTTTATAGTTTGTGATAAAGTGAGGTTCCTGTTCTCTGATTCAATACTAACCTCCGAAATAACTAGACGTCTTCATTTCATACTTGGTCATAAAACCTATGCATGTCTAGGGATGGATAAGCGAGTTGACTACTGCTTGTTGCAAGAGTGGAATCCAACAACTATGGTAAAGAGCAGAAGAGGGCTTGCATGCTGCCTGGAGGAATTTCGACCGCTGCGTGGAGGATTCCAGTTGGTGGAGAGGCTCTGACAGTTGTAGGAGCAAGCTAGGGTTTGTTTTTTTCTTGGTAAAACAGGAAGATTGAAACGGCCAAGTGAAACAGCTGACGTAACAGAAGAACCGAACGAAACAGTCGATGCCCTCATCCTATCGCAGACGATGCAAGTAGATGTCTCAGACAACGCAAAGGAAGACGAAGTAGACTTCATAGGATGGAGCGTCGCAGATGACACGAGGAAGACGTCGCTAAATGATACAGGAAAAAGATGTCGCAGACAACACAAATGAAGATGAAGCAAACTTAACTGATCGTGGACATCATAGACAACGATATGCATAGATGTAATCGACACAAACAATGCCTATGAGCGAACTAGACTCGACTAGACTAGCCAAACCTGTAATGATATCATGAAGAAAGTTGGAGAAATTGTATTCTCTTATTCCATCATTTTTAAATTACAATTTTTCCTCTTATTATATGGAGAATGATTAAGGCTATTACAACTTGCAAAATACAAAACAAATATTTAAGGAAAGGCATACAATATAGTATAAAAAAATTAAGTTGAAATAGGAAACTCCCTCCAACATCTTCCATAAATTGAAGATGTGTGGTCCACATGGTCGGCGATCTGGGCCACCTAGCAAGGTCATAATTCCACCAAAACTAGTGTCAAAGAATTTTTAAAATCATTTTATCACCAATCAGTTGCATCAAAACTTTCTGAATGATCGGCTCTGATTGCATTATAAAATAATTATGTTCTCAAAGTGTTTAGAATTTCAACTAACTTGGAATCAAATATTTGAGTGCTTTTAATTACACTTGTATGTATTGGATGATCTTGATAAGTGAAATACATCGGTAAGTTTAGAATTTTTGAAATGGTTATATGAGTTGTTTTGTCATTCTTACAATAAGTCATCGATAACATTAATAAAATTCAGTTCACATATAACTCTTATTTTGTTTATCACAATCAACAGTGTAATTTTGATTTTGAAGATTATATAAAATGTTAGATTCAAAAATAATATTCACCGAAGAATAAACTTTATCCTTCTATTAGATTATTCCTATGAATCCAAGTAAATCTCCATGACAACCAGGTGAAACCTAGTTTATAATCTTAACTTAAATATGATATAATAATATCCAAAATTGTATAGACAACCAAAATGGATATATTTTTAGAGGTTTAAGGTTTTTATACAAATTTAATATTTGTTACTTATTGTAAAGAATAATTATTTAATAAATTAAGGTTTTTATACAAATTTAATATTCGTTGCGGGATCAAATTTCCAACATAATAAAATAAACAATCCTAAAAACTTAAAATAGCTTTTATAACTATTAGAACTGTATTTTAAAAAGATATAAACTTTTCTTTTCGCTTGAAATAAACTGAGCCCTTTAATTTTATGTAATATAGCAAAATTAACTTTAATAAATGGTCCAATAAGGCATCAATTGAACAGATTAGTAAATGAAAAATGATTAATCTATCATGATTAATTGAGAGAAATGAAAATCATTGAACAGATATTTAAATATAAAGGGATATTGATATAAGTTTAACTGGGTGAACTGTGGTGCAGTTTCCAGTTTGAGACAGAGACCGAAAGTGTGAAACTACGGAGAGATGTTTTAGCTGCAGTTAGTGTTGGCTTGGGACCTACATCTACAGGAATTACATCTTTAATGTCAGGCCAAGAAGAAATGTTTGCCTTCCGTAGAGCTGTAAGTACTTTCTTTCTCCTTTTTTTCTTTTGTTGTTCAACAAGTATACCTATGCTTTATAGGTGTTTCACTTTTTAAAAGTTAGTAAGAGTAGTATTTTTTATATGATACTAAAATTTTGAGTGTTATAAATGTAAAAAGTCAAAGTTTAGGTGTTTGATATGTAAATACATAAAAATTGTGCGGTATGTATGTAAATATCCGAATCTCTTACATGTCACTGTTTTTGTCAAGGATGTACATCAATGCTAACCTTTCTATCACTTATTGTTTCTATTTATCTATTTCAAGGCAATGATTTGGTGATGGCTAAAGATAACATGGTTAGAAATTCTAAAGAAAGACAGCATATAAACATAGACTCTAAATTGTAACTACAGAAAAAGAAATATTTGTAAAACCATCCCCAACTTTTTAGATAAGATTGATAGATGATGTGGTCAATGATCCTTATTCCCATTAAGGCACTTAAGCTTCTGCTGAAGGAAAATGTTCTGTTGTCCTACTTAAACCCAAAATAAGTCTCCATACCCGTCGGGTAGATAAAAGTGGTGATTTAAGATGATTTAGGATTAGGTTTTCTAATGCAACTAGAATGTTGTAATAAATACAGATCATGCCATGGAAACTAGGATTGATAGATCAAATCCAACTATTTAAGCAAAAATTTGTTTTCTTTCGATGCAAAGAAGAAATTATGATAACTAGAACCCAAACAATAATACAGCGATTGACAAAATCTGAAAAAAATCAATAAAAAATTTAACCCACTCAAAATTAGCAGGCAATTACCCTTATTCAGAAATAAATTTATCTTAGTTGGATTTAAACAAAATTAAAAATATTAGCAAATCAATAACAAAATATGTAGAAGAAATAGGTCAAGTAAATAATTCACAAAAAAATCTAGGCCTCATACCGGTGCAAGGGGTCGAATTTCCTCAAAATTAGCTTGTCACAGTTGTACTATACTCAAATGAATCGTACTTCTAGCCTTCTATTGCCAGATTAACCGCTAAAGATGAAATTTTATTCAAGCAAAATTCTTCTAGTTACATGCGTTAGAATCTCCATATTGATATGTTAATCCAGTCTTCAAAAATTCTTTGAGGACGTCCTCATCCAAAGTTTGACTTGTTTGCAATGCCTTCAAATCTGTAGTTGTCCTATAAATTTGCTTTACTTGAAAGTTAAACTCCAAATTCAACGCTTGCTTTCAACTGGTAACTCTACCGTCTGCATATAAGTTGTACCAAGAAACATAGAAAACTGTTGCAGTAAATAATCCTGATTTTTAGAAAAACGCATAAGCTAAGGTCCTGTTTGACATCACTTTTATTTTATCAATTTTCTTATGTTATGTTTAAAAATATGTTTGGTTGATATAATTTTTTATAAGTTTTTATTTTTTTTAAAGCACATCAATTTCTTTTATGAACACTTAAAATACTTAGAAAATATTTTTAGTATTTTTTATAATAACTATGTCAATCAAACATGTTTTAATTCAAGTCAAAAGATAAATAAAATAAAATAAAAAATAAATGATCTCAAACTCCCCTAAGAATATGGTGCAACAAAGAAAATTAAATTCAGGAAAACACACAAGCCACAAAATTTTGGAATTGTAGCCTCCAAATAAATAATTCCAAAAAAAGTACATAGCCCCAATCACTACCACTGCATTTAAAAAAATTGAGAAAAGTGTCAAAATGGCCCCTTAATTCTTGCAATGAGCCATTTTAGCCTATATCTCGACCTAGCCCGAGAGCTTGGATTACCAAAGCGGGAAAAAATAGTCTATGCATAAATTAAATCTAATTTTAATGAAAGCTAGCTAATTGTTTTATATCATAATTAAATCTAATTTGAAACATAAGTGTCATTCTATTCATAGAACTTTAATTTACGAACAGTTCGTGCATATTTAAATTTTTATAACTGACAGAATATAAAAAATTTAAATGTAATACATTTCGATCTGAGCTATTTGGCTTTGTACATATACCATCTTGGATCTATTTAATCCTATAGTAGATTTCCTTGAAAAATGTTAGCAGTTGAAGGAGTGAGTTAAACTATAGTGGGTAAAATATTTCTAAATTACAATAATTCTCTTGTTTAAAATATTTTATAGAAATGTACTAAGTTGTAAAAAGTCTATGAGTAGTAAAAAAAGAAAACAGCAAGGAAATAATTTTTTGCTTTTATTCCTTTGCTTTTATTCATTTCAGTTATAACATCCATTAGTGGAAGTTACCGTATAAACGTATACGAAAAGTATATGTTTAATATTTTTCAACCCACCAACAACAAGTTAGGCAACCATTTCTATTTTCATTTTCATTTAAAGTGCACGAGTACACTGTATTTTCTGCTAGTATCATCTGAGAGTGACTGCATATGCATGCTTATATCGTATTTTGTTTCTTTATTTTATTTAACATTTGAAAACATAAAATTTTACATTTTAAAAGAAGTATTAAAACCAGTAATAGCATTTGCAATTGTTTTCACAAATAAAAATATATTTACTCACCTATTCTATACAACTGATCGTCTTTTTTCCTCAGTCGGCTTATTCTTTCGATGAACCCATAATAACACATTAGACTTCATTAGCATCTAATATATTATACTTAATTAAATTATATCAGTTTTACTCTTCTTTCATTTTACATTTAACATAAATAGCTTAGACATCTTCACTTACATTTTATTCAAGTTATTCTTTATTGCTCTGTATGTAAATATTTATTCTCCTGTTCAAATTTTCTAAATCCTTTATAACTCACTTAAACTTAATATATATATACATTTATATATATTACAAAATGAAATATTTACATCTAAGATTTCCTTCATTTCCAGTTTAATGATTTTTATTGTTTAGCTCACCTTTAAGTGTAATTCAATCATAGTTATTTTTAAAAACCCTTTAAATATTATATTTGTTCTCTTGAATTTTAAAAAAAAACGTTATTTGTTTTTAAAAATAATTATACTAAAAAAAATAAACAAATGTCTTTTATAAACAAAAACAAAATCTAAGTGATTCTAAATAAGCCTTCAGTTAACCTTTAGATGACACCATATAAAACTTATTTTATTTCTTTTTCACCTGCAAGCTGTTTTAAAACTCTAGGACGATTCATATTTGAAAAATCATAGTGTTATATTTTGATTATTGCACATTTTAGCTTTTTGTCAGATTATTTATAGCCATCTGTACAGGTCTCCAGGCTGATCGAAATGCAGAAGCCTCTTTACATCGAAAGCGCTCGTCTTTTACATCCTATGTATCCGCGGCATACCCATCTACAAAGTAGGCATCATCTCTCCTAAACAATCAACTATTTATATCTGCTCATTTGATTTCTATCCACAGCTTCACTGCTGTTCTATTGAAATTCTAATTCCATAATTATATATTTCATTAATATTATATATATAATCTTTTGTATTATATTGTATGAATTTATTATCATTTAACATTCAGTGTTAACTAATAATGAACAAGAAAATGATTTGTGAAGAGGTCAAATTGGTTTAGCCTAATTTGATCAGTACTGTGATGGGTTGATTGAAGATTTAGGAAGAGCTTTGGACAATTCATTTGATGTGGTGCATTTTCTGGACGTCATTTGCACATCGTGTTGGAAATGTATTGCATTGTCATGAAATTTAGAACTTTATTTACAGTCATAGTTGATTTTAAACTATGAAAATAATGGAGTTTTTTTTTAGGAATTATAATGTTTTTTCTTATTTGGAGATTGCCATGAAATTTAGAACTTTATTTGCAGTCATAGTTGATTTTAAACTATGAAAATAATGCAGTTTTTTGTTAGGAATTATAATGTTTTTTCTTATTTGGAGATTGTTCCTACGATAAAAGAAAATAGCTACAATACTTATGGGTTCATTTCAAACATAATATTATTTGAATATTTGAAAATGAGGTAGACATTGTATGATCAGAAGCATTCTGGAGTGAGCTCATCGGCTAGACAATTCGATCAAGACAACTCGGCCAGAAGCCATGATAATCAACTCAGCTCATCAATTTGGCCCGTGAGATCAACTGATCAGTAGATCGAGTCATTTCAAGAAACCAAGTGGTGACCTCGTCATGATGCCAGGGTCTTAATGAGCGGACAAGTCAATTCAGCCATACCATTAGTAACTTTGTACCTTATTCTAAATTTAGTACAATGTATTTTGTATTTCTTGTGTAGCATGTATCTCTGGCTAGCTCAACCTATACCTAGAAATGGCCATGATGATATAAAGAGCAGGAGGGAGGAGCAGAAACTCCATAGAGTAAAGAGGTTTATTGAGATTCCATGTTCTATTCTTTATAATCATTCCACTCATCTATAAATTCCTAGATAAAAAGTCAAAGTCCTGCATCTGTTTGCCCAAGGGATTTGTGCAGATTCCATGGTCCTTCCTTTGAGTCATGACAACCCTCATTAGATTCTTTGTAGATAATCCCAATTGTAGAAAATCTTTAAGCATTATTTCTTAGAAAAAAAACCTATTTGTTGTTGTTGTTAGTCAACAACTCATATAAGCATTAAAATTTTATAAAAAAGCAATTGTTGAAACTTGAATAAATACGTTTTAACATATTTGATGGCATTAGAAATAAAAATCAGATATTTGTTTTGTTCTTTATGTTCATTTTAGGTGGTGTAAGAAATGGAGCCTTGTCACTAATGAATACATTGGTGTTGCTAATGATTATCAAATGTTCCCTTTGATGATCACTTGAGATATGTTATAGCCATGAAAAAGATTATAAATTTAATAAACCCCAACTAGAAACTTAGGGACCGTTTGGGATCACTTTTATTTTTTTTATTTTTTTTTTATTTTTTTGTTTACTTATGTTATGATTTGAAATAAAGTATGCTTTATCATTTAATTAAAATATGATTAATTTAAAAAATACTCAAAATATTGAAAAGTTATGTTGAATGTTTTCAAACATATTTTAATTTATTTTAGAAATAAGAACTAAAAACATATAAAAAAACATGCTAAATAGATATATTTTTAAAATTAGAAGGAAAAAAATAAAAATAGTTACCAAAAATAAAATTGATTCCAAACAAGTCATTAATGTTTGAGTTTTAATATTTGGTAGAATATATTAAGAAATTTTTTGTTGATGGTGAAACTGAGTGTGTTGGTATTAGATGGATCCTAGAATAAGACTTTCTCTGTCTAGTTCTTAAAAATTTTTTTTTATTATGCATGAATCTAATTTAATCAACTTAATGAACATATTAATAGCTAAATGAATTATCATTAGTTTTGTAAAGTGATGTATATTTTAGAGAATTTACCCTCCAGAAAAGCTATGAGATAATTTTAAAGTTGTTAAATTTTTCTATAAATTTTATCTGACAGATCTATAAGACAACACAAAGTTATTGTCATCAAGTTGAAGTATAATACGTCTTTAAAAAATTTCAAAAAATTAAGAATGTATATTTATGATTGATACCCATCTGCATCATCTGCAACTTTTATCATCCAGTACGAATCTTTAAGTGTAACATGAAACTCGAGGTAATTTTTTGAGCAAGGAATTTTCAAACTTCAATTAAAAATTATTCATTACTCTAGTTTTAGCAAACTTATAATCAAATCGATCGGCTCAATGAGACAATGACACCAAAATTGATTCAATCTGAATCAGATCTAGATCAAGTTAAACCATTTTTGAAAGTTTTTGGTCCTTAATTGGAAGGTCAAATAAATTTCAAATCTGGCAAATTTACAATCAAATCGAGCATCTCGACAAGACAAATCTAACGAGCCCAAGATCACTCTACTGCAACATCGCTAAAGCACTCAAATGTTCACAAAATATTGTCTGATCAAGGGATCTTATCCTGGTCTTCCGATAGAGAAAACCTAATTCCTATTTTATTTATAGGGAAGCCTCTCCAAATCTTTATAAATAGAGCCCTAATGCCTTCATAAGAAGGGGTGAAACCTTGAACTAGAGGAAGCTCTGAGTTTGGAGGAGAATGAACGAATATCTAGTGTTATACATAGAAGGTTCAGCAAACGTCGCTCGCTTTTGCAACCGTAGACCACCGATGACTAGCACCTTTTGGTCGTTGTCCACCATCATCGGCCACCCTCCGCTCGTTGCAATGAAACACTTTGTTGAAGCATGATGTATGTTATGGAATCCAGGTGTACGTTGCGGAGTAACAATGCACTCAATTGAACTTTGCATTATCTTGAACATGGTGCAACAATATTTCTTGAATATAGCGCAATGATACACCTAAAGACAGTGCAATGATGTGCCTTACATATGGAGTAAATACGAACCTTGAAAATAGTGTAATGACACACCTTGAAGATTGTGTAACAACATACTCAGTATGCAGTGACTTATTCTAGACTTCTAAATTTCTCTCCTCACATCTCTTCACTACAGCCTACGACCTATGTGGTTCACTATAATTGTAGCCATTTGCTACAGCCATGGCAGCCAACTGACGCTATTATAGCTTCCCATCCCTTTTTACTTGAGTGAGGGTGAAGATGATTCACTTAAAGAATAAAATCAGAGAATGACATAACAAGATTTGCTGGTGAAGATGATTCACTTAGAGAATAAAATCAGAGAATGACATAACAAGATTTGCTCTGTTCAGAGTCGTAGTCATTGAAACATTCCTACAAGATGTTAGTCTTTCTTAGAGGGATGCATGTACTTCAATTTAATCTTAAAGTTGAGTTTGAGGTGGAAATATTGATTTGTCCTACTTTGTTGGTAGAGACCCTTACTCTTAAGTTAGCTCATTTTCTTATTACTAACATATGCATGTTACGAAGTTCCATGTGTGTAAAAAAATTGGCTTCTAATTGTTTTCCCTCCTTATTATAATTATTATTTAAAGGAATCATGCTCCTAAAGTAGCTAATAGTCCTCTAAGGTCATAAAGGTTAGCCTTATTGTCCCAGTATGATGAGAATGCAGTGGAAGAGTTGAGTTTGTCAATCCTTCCTCCTGCTCTTTTCGCTGCCACCATTGAACTCATAATACTCCTTCAAGACGCCTTAATTATGATTTATGAAAATGTTATTAAGTTGGGGGAGGGTGAGGAAATAGAGTTGGTGATTATCGTGTGGCAGACTTATTTAGCCACTTACTCGCAAGCTTTGATTTCAACACTTTAGGGATTCTACCTCTTAGGTGCTGGATAAAAAATTGTGTCGAGTTTCCCTTTGATGTCAAATCCACTTCATTTCTTAGGGGATTTCAACATTTGATAACATGACAATGGACCGGTTCGGTGATGAGGGGCTGAGTTTTCAATCATTTTGGCTGGTCCTACAATTCATATAGAAGCGATCAAGGAGCACATCAAATTGTGGGAACAAAATTAGTTCATCTGCTTTGATGGAGACTATGATATCTTTCTAACAGTATTCTTATACTGTTGAACCCTCCCGTAATTCCTTGATATGTAATATCAATTTGAATGAAAGATATAAGGAAGATATTAATACATTAGAATGATTAGCAGATATCAATAAGATGTAGTTACGACAACTAGGGAGAGTGCAAGCTGATGATCGGGCTTGGATGGCTACGGATTGCTCTCTCATATAAGAGCAATAGAAAACACTTGAGAGCTTCTAATTGAAATTTGAGGAGATGAGGACTTTAATAAATATGTGGACAAGCTTAACTGAAGCACCATACCAAGATAAAATAATTAGAGCAGATAAAGGATGTCACCATTGGAGATAGTTTGTCTGAGAGAGGGAACCTTCGGATGTTGCCATGATCTTTGTCTTTGGATTACCTTTCAAGAAGGGGCCATAATAGAAAATCAGATATCTTGGTGCAAAGTTATGGAGATTTTCGTGGAATTGGCCACTAAGGTTTTTTTTTTTTTTTTTTTTTTTTTTTTTGAAGTACTCGCATCAAAACAAGAAAAATTTTGCCAAATTTACATGCTTGCCATGAAATGCGAGAAAAACGAGTCTTAAGCCGTTTGAATATAATATCATATTAAGAACATGCTAAAATTGATGCCAACATTGTTCGAAGAGGCCTCTATCTAGTTGAGGTGAGGTGACAGAGGTTGGTGAATTGATATTTTAGGTAGCCTGCCAATTCCTTCAAATATACCTCGAATATTCCTTTTACCGTCATGAATATGAGATCTCTTATGCTCCTTCAATCTAGCGGTATTCATTGATATACAAATGCTCTATGTTGTTAAAGATTGTGTGTCTTCTAAACATTTTGAGGTATAAAATCAATTTCCTCTATGCAATGAAATTATTATTTTTATTCTATTAAAATTTGAATTTTCATTCACTTTGTTAAATTTTTGGGCATGTATTTTTCAAAAATAAATTAAATATTCTTATATATAAATTATGATATTAGTATAATACATATAATTATATAATTAAATACATTAGTTAAATAATTAAGTAAAATTTATGTGATTTGTATATAAATTCCTCCTAATTTTTATACCGACTTAACAAAACCCACTAATGGATCAGAAGCCCAACAGAAGATCTGAGGGCTCGCTCTTGCGCCCGTCGTCTTCCCCGACGCATCTCTGCACTTTATTTCACGTCATCTTCTCGCGATCGATTCGGCTCTTCTGCCTAACCTACATCCGCCTCTGCGTTACCCTCCGGTTGAATGACAAGCGCGCCTCAACGAAGGAAGGGCATGGTAGATAGCTCTCCGGTCAATGCCCTTTTCTCCTTGGCGAAATCTTAGTTTTGTCTCTCCCTCTCTCTCTCTCTCTGCTTTCTCGCGCTGATCCGCTATTACCCTGGGTTACTTGCGGTCGAGAAACAAGTGCCGGAACCCTAAGCGTGTATGCTTCAGCGTAGCCTCAGAAGTTTTGTGTTCAAATTAGCGTGGCCCGTTAAGGTTTCGAATTCGCTCTGTTTCGACGCTTCGGCGAGCTGCGAGTCTCGGAAGCCTCCTCTTTCACCTAAATTTCCGAGATTTACCCGCAGCCTTGCGTTTTATATGTTCAGCATTCCACTGAACCCAAGCTCGAGAATCGGGTGGGTGACTTCCTTCAGTCCTAGTGGGAGACTGCTCGCAGGAAGCTTTTACATTTTGTCTCCGGGAACTCCATTGTTTTTTGAACTTGTAGGTATGCTCCGCTCTTATAACGCTTTTGGCTCGAGTCTAGTTTTTATTATGAGCACATGGCTAACCCTGTATTCTCACCGTCATCGTGGGAGTTAATAATTTTATGCAAAAATGAATTTATATTAGTGTATTGGTGAACCTGTTGCTTGGCTGGAGCAAGGTTGTTGAACAAACATCGAGCTTTGTGATAAGATATTCATAAGTTTAGAATATTTTCTCATGAATTGAAATAAGAGTCAGATTAATATATATATATATATATATAGATATATATTCTGACTTGTTTCTGACATGCTAGTTTCAATTATTGGTAGATATTTATTTTTTTGCATGATTCAGAAGTTTTCAATGAAATTAAATTTCATGTTCAACCTATTATTATCTGTAATGTCTTAAGGTTTGGCTTAATATTATACTAACTTGTTGGAAGATTAAAACTTTTAAGTATTAATGCAATACCCTTTTGATATGCATGAATTTTTTTTTCTGGAAGGCGTAAATGAAGTTTATCATAAGATTCACACAATATTCCTGATTCTAATTCGAGATATTCAAATTAGGACTACTTAATTAGAAAAGATAATCCAATCATACTATGTGAACATATTAATCACTCAGTAAATGCTTAATTTCACAATACTGTAAAAGTAATCAGCCACTGGGTAATCTAGAGGATTTCCCATGCAAACAAGGAGAAGAAAAACAAGGTTTCATGTCCTACAATAGAATTTATGAGCAAATGAATTCTTCTTCAAGTTACTAAAGTATGCAAGAACCTCGATTTTGAAAATGTTTGTTTATGCAGTCCTAACATCAACTGTTTAAGACACTTTGCAAGTAAATTTTACATGGAAAAATGTCACCAAGAAGCTAACTCTTGGCTACAACTAAATAAATATTACAAAGAAAACTTGACAAGAAATAATTGCATCACGACACCTGCTTCTCAAACAATTCCTGTGTCTAGAAATGATCTTGTACCTTACGAATTGGTTGATTGATGGTGACCAACACTAGTTTCGTGGGATATGAACTTTTGGAATTGTTGTGGTCTGCCTAGGATTGTCTCAAGAGACGGCTTCTGAAGTTTCGTAGTCAATTTTGGTGGAATCTTAGATTTCATAATGGCCAACTTCCCTTTTCACCTTTGCAAAATATTGGAGAATTCTCCAAACCTAGAAAACCTAAAACTAAATTTAAAAAAAAAATGAAAAACTCTAAGCAGGCTAATCTTTATATACAGCCCAAACCCTCCACAACAACAATTGCTAATTTTATACATAAGCAAAATATAAAAGTAATCCGACAAAAAAGAAAACTACTTGTGTAAATTTTCTAAACTAGGTCAAAATGCTATGTTGGATTTTTTTATTGGCTAAGCCTGATGATTGTTCCTCAGAAATAACCATAGATGTAGTTTATAAAACGTTGCCATGGAATTTAAAACTATTGTTTGAATTTGCATTTTTATTGTATTGAGGAAGTTGTTTTTTTGTCTTAAAGGTGAGAATTTTCTGAAGGCAGGTATTCAATTGGGAGACAACTGTAAGTGTCCTACAAATTGGTTGTTTTTCTACCCAAATATTGATTTCATCTTTTTCAACATCGTTTAGTATGCTTAACATAATCGTGCATTTGTTTGAATTCAAGTTTTGTTTATGTTTTAAATTTAAACATTTGTTTCAAAGTTATATGTGTTCTTACAGGCGACCCGCCATAATAAATTGAAGGGTTGTTTGGTAATATAAGTTAGGCATGTAAAGTATAACAAATGCACAGGAGTTTCTTTTTTTCTTTTCACCTTTTACTATGAATTTATGTCAGCGTAAAATAAAATTTGTGCTTAAAATACATCAAGATGGCATCTTCTAGAAATCTCTAAAAAATGGGTGAAATTGTAATACATTATGGAACATGGTGCTCAAACCCCTCTCCCCCTTTCATTTTCTTCTATAGATGCATTGCCATCACACGCTCGTCCTTGCTTGCATCCTCATCTGGTGACCTCTCACTGATGATTGTAATAAAAAAGAGACATTTCTCTTCATTTCTCTATGAATTCTTGTATAATCTTTTCAAGTTTATCTCTCTATCTCATAGCGATCAACGAGATTTTTTTTTTAAGGTCTTTTTATTGTGGAGTTTACTGTTTGGTGCAATTTTGATACTTGAGTTTAACCAAACATTAATGACAAACAAATATTATTGTTGAATCCAAATATGTAATTATAACAAATCACGATGGAATTATGAAGTTACAACAAAGAAAATAACACACTACACTAAACTTGGGTGGATCTAGGGTAGAGGTGGTGTCGGCTAGGGGGTTGGAAGGTGTTGGGGTGGTGGAAAGAGGCGGTTGGCAAGCAGGAACATGGTAGGAACCGACAGAGTTCGACATAGAAATTAGGGTCGAGCAATTATTTTTCTTCAATAATCCAAATAATTCAACACAAATACATAAAATATAAGCACTTACAATTTGAGAGGCAGATTATCTCTCCCAAATACTACTATTCAAGAGTTAAGAAATCTATCCCAAACTTTAAGCCTAAGACTTAAGCCACAATCTCATGCATGCCTAATCCTAAATTTTTAAGTCCTATTTTTACCAAGAAATAATAAATAAGAACAACTAATTTTTTTAGGATAATAAATGCAAAACTGCCCATAGGTACTGACGTAGTAATATTCTCTTCCCAAAGAAACATCTTGTTCTCAAGGTGGATAAAGTAAAACTGTTGTTGGATCAAGCTCCCATGTCTCATCCTCACACACTGTGAAAACCTGTAATGTCTGATCATCATAACAAGGTCCTGGTGAAAATTTTTCGTCACATCAAAAACATAACTCCCTTGCTCGTTTCTCTTGAATCTGTCTCTGTAAAACGTTTGACTGTCGTTCTTAGTCGTGGCCCATTATCCATGTCTCAGGTAGTCTCCCTCTAGACTTCCTCTGTTTGAGTTTTTAGTATCATCGTGGTTGTAGCATTTTAATATGACGCTCCATCTGTACTGCTTCTATTAGCTAGTTCCATTGTATTTTTATCTTAAACTATCTGTGCTAATTCCATGTTTTCTCCCAAGCATCGTAGTCTCTGTGGACGAAATGGTGCATGCATGTCGAGCTTTAGACTCTTCATAAATTTCTCCTCCGATACTGCTTTATAAATCTCTCTCAGTTATTCAAACATTAGCTTGAATCACTCCCTATATTCTATAACAATCCCCACTTGAGTCAAGACAAGGAGTTACTCGTGTAGGTCTCAATCCTGAAAGGTTCTGAAACGTTCACGCAATCCTTAAAATTCCTCTATAAGCGGATCAGATATCTACCTCCCTTCACTGAAACCATGCTAGAGCTTTTCCCTTTAAACATAAGCCCCCGCCCCCATGAGGTTCTACTCCCTCATTTAGTTCATTCCCCATGAAATATCACGCCGCCCGATTCACCCACTCATTTACGTATTCCTCTATCAAATATCAGCATCTTTAATTCCTAACACTAGTATTTCCACCTCAAACTCTTCTCCCTTCAGTGTTCTCCCTCATGCATCTAGATAAACTCCATCATTCGATCATAGTCATACCCCATCCTGATTTATCTCTTTCCTTCTTTGTACTCCTCCATGCCCATTGCATAACCTTTTCTTCATGTTTCGACCTAAGCCCCTCCATCTAAAATCTTTGATCCACCTTTCATCAGAACCATATGAGGGGGTTCTTAGTGGTGGATGTTTTTCTTCTTGTGTTCCTCTCGTCCGATATCGTTTTCTTTTGATTTATCTAAGGATTCTCTGCTTAACCCTTGATTAGGGTTTGTAAATTGAACTGACGACAGAGCCTTGGATTGCATCTCAATAAGCCTTCTCATGATCTCTTTCAAGCTCTCGAATCGGTTTTCGATTGAGGAAAACCTGTCTTCTATTTCATATTTAATTTGGTTAATCTCATTCTCCAATTTCATCTTTAGGTCATCTACTTTCTTGGCTGTCATTCCTTTTAGACGGGTTTCGATCAAGAATGAGGAACTACTGGCTGATATCCGGTCGTTCGAATCGCATTTGTACCTCAAGGTTGTAGGCCCCTTTTCTGCTTCAACTTCCTAGGCACCAGCTTCCCAACTAGCTCTTATCATGATTGTGTCGCCAGGTTTCTGTCACAAAGGAGACCACAATCTCGTGTTGCTTCCCTACTAGCTCTAACCATGATTGCATCGTGGTATTAGGTCACACAATAAGTCTCTTGTCCGTTGTGATCCCTATTTGGCCTTATCAGCAAGCCTAATCGATTTAGCTTGAGTACAAAGCGGAAGGAGAAATATTGGAGTTTCGGGTCCCTATATGCCGCGAAAGTTTCAGATCTCTGTACAACCCTAGTAGCACGCTTGATCCCTCTTCCCAGTTCTTGCGATCCAGTAGTTGCTTCGGCGTGTTTCACAGGTAGCTTGAACGGTAAAAATTCTTTTGGAACGCTGCGATCTCGTATTTTTTTCCCATACTAATGCTTTGATACCATTTGATAGGATGCAAGCTAGATTTTCTCACAAAAATTTTGGCGAACGGAAATTTTATTGCAATAACATCAAACAACTCAAAACGAATACATACGATAGGCATTTATAATTCGAGAGGTAGGCGTTCTCTCCCAATTCCTACAATTCGAGAGGTAGACAATTTCTCCCAATTTCTATCCCTAAGACTCAAGACAATCTCATGATGTTTAATCCTAAATTATTAAGCCTTATTCATACTAAACAATAATAAATAATAAAAGGCTAAATTGCCCTGAGCTAATAAAAGACAAAATTGCTTTTAGGCACCGACTTAACAAAACAACTAGGCAAGTGCGAATCTGGGTGATGATAACAAGGAAGAGGGGTAGCAAACATCAGATGGCTATTTCAAGGGGCGACAACGAGTGGAGGGGAAAAGAACATGATCAGGTTGTTTTCAAAGGGGGAGACAACATAGGTGGAAATACAATATGTTGTTGTTTTCTGAGGGGGCGACAACAAAGGTGCAGGAACAAGGGTGAAGGGAGTCCATACCAGAAGTGATGAGAATGGTTATATAAAGGATAAATACCACTTGGTAATCAAGGTACAATCGAAGTACCACTTGTAACCCTATGATATAACCTTAGAAAGAAAATAAGAAACACAAACAACTGTTCTGAAACAAACACAACAAAAACTAACTTTAGACACCAACGGAAATAAATAAATAGTCATAGGATAACTAGGAGTTGATACCACTCCAATTCGGCGGCAAATCTGAGCCTTGGATTTCTAATTGGCCCCTTAAAAGTCTAGATTGAACAGTCCAGGTGAGCAAAAACTTGTTTTCGTGTCCCGCGTCCCGTGTCTCATGCGTAGACGCCCACATTGGTCTAGCAGGGTTTGGTGAGCTTTGATCTCATATGTTGAAGTTTCTGCTCATTGTGTAGAGTAAGGCCAGTCTTGTTGAAGGTAGTGAAAATGTCGTAATCTCTCGGGATTGGAGGGTCTTTGATTGCGCCTCTAGAGACACTTGAACCTCACTGTCGGATGCAATGTTCCACGAAACACCTGAGAAGAATTCTCGAATTGCGTGTAGCCATCTTTATCTGTCCAACCATCTGTGGGTAACTCGTTGAAACTTCGTGGCAAGTGTACTAGGCAGAGGCCTCCAAAAATAGCCCCATGTTGGCTCATCCCTCTCTGAAGTGAAGACAAACGGAACTTCCCCTAACGGTGGCAGCTCTGGCGGTAAGTTTTTGGTTAGGGTATCCCGAAACTCTCTTCGTGATGGCTATCCTTTGTCTGATATCGGCTCTTCTGAATACCCTCTGATATCACCAAAATTGATCCTATCGGCGACTCTTCGTTGGCAAGAGCACTTATAACTTGGAACTCCACAAAAGATTGGAGAATTATACACTTTCCATCCTTTGTGAATGAGTAAATGTTCTTGAACCCATCATGCTAAGTCCTGCGATCACACTGTTCGATCATCTCAATAGAATGTGACAGACATCCATGGGCACAACTTTACACCACACTTGATCCTGTAGTTGGTCCTCAATAAAAACTTCACGAGACATCTCCTGTTAAGCTAATCTTATTCTCTTTTTTCTACGAAATCAGGAAATATGGTTTGGAATATCTTTGAGTAATGAGACTCAACTTATCCACCATCTGTGTAGACGCTACATTCATACTACTACATCCATCAATGATAAAGTTGCACACTTATCCATTTACAATGCAACTGGTGTGAAAGATGTTGTGGCAAAGCCACTGTTGCTCTCTTGTAGTCTCAGTTTGAAGGACCCATCGAACCACAAACATCTCTCCCTCATCTTTTGGAAGCTAGTATTTTCTCTGTCTAATTATTTTCTCTGTCTCCAGTACAACAACTCACTTCTTCTATTGCTCCTCGTTTAATGAAAAAAACAATTTTGTAATAGGGCAAATGGAAACGATGTGTCTAAACCCATGACATCTGAAACACTGCTTTGCGGGCACTGTGCGTGTACTGCCTCTCTCGGGCTTTTTCTCACTCTTGTAAACTCTATCAAGTTTATTGATAGTTTTCACATTTTTCTCCTACTGGCTTCTACTATGATTATCTGTTTATGCTATTTCTCCATCTTTAGTGTCAAGGTCTTAACATCACCCAACGATCAGTACGACTATACTTGGACAATATTATTTATTGATGGATTTCTGACTATAGTGTGCTTCTATGATTTTGTTGGCTCATATTTCAACATAAGCTACTCAAACTCTATTGTGAACTCCTTCATTGACAAGGTTTTCTGCTGTAGGTAGCAGAGCTTTAAGAATATGGCTTGATGGTAGTGTGGGGGTAGATACTTCTGCATTTACTTTATCTTCTCTCATGTAGTTATTTTATTCCCGCCTTCTCTCCGTCACTCTCTTCAGATTCCCCCAATATAAAGAGACACTCTTCTTCAGCTTTATGATAGTAATCTTTACTACTTTCCTATTAGCTGACACCTCCTTAAACTAAAAAATCCTCTTAACAGTCCTCAATCACTCAATGAAGTGATTCAAATTTATTCTTTCCTCAAAATCCAGTTAGACGACCTTCCCTCCCATGTCTTTATGTCCTCCAAATGTCACTCCATATTTCGGTCTCTTCTGATACTGAATCCCAGAGTGTCGTGACATATCTTCTTCTTTACTTGAAACATCCCTATGGAAAAGGTTTAGATTTTCCTTCCTCTCCTCTTCAAATTTCACTATAACGGTTGACAATGATTTCTCAATGGGTCCTTTTCTCATTTTTAGTAAGCCGCTATTGAAGGCGACAGATTTTTCAATGCATCTCTTTAACCATAGTATGAAATTAGGATTAGGCTTGCTCTGATACCAAATGATATCGAGGTTTAAACAAACATCAATGATAAACATATATTATTGTTGAATCCAGGTATGAAATTACTACAAAACACGATGAAAATATGAGAATTGCAACAAAAAAAACGGCAAACAACACTAGACTTAGGTGGATTTAGGGTGGAGGTGGTGTTGGTTGATGGTGGGGTGGTGGAAAGAGGAAGTAGGAACAATTAAGTAAGGGCAAATCTGGGTGATGACAAAAAGGTTGGGAAACAAATAACTGGTGGCTATATCACGGGTTGGCAACAAGTGGAGAGGAAGAAAACAAAAGCAGTTTGCTATTTTCAGAGGGGCGACAACACAAGTGGAAGGCAAATACAGTTGGTTGCTATTTTCTGAGGGGGCTGCAGCAAAGTTGCAGCGATGAGGGTGGAGGGAGTCGATGCGGGAAGGGATGGGAAATGGTATAAGAAGGATAAACATTACCTGGAGACCAAGATAGGACCGAAGCACCACTTGGAACCTTATGATACAACTCTATAAGGGAAAAGGGAGGCGCCGACGGCTGTCCTAAAACCAACACGACATAAACTAATCCTGGACAACAACAAAAACAAAAAAATAGTCCTAGGAAAACTAGGAGCGGGCCCCACTCCAATTGGGCGTCAAATCTCAACTTTAGAGGGATAATCGACCCCTTAAAAGTCTGTATTGAACAGTCCAGATGCACAGATACCCGATTTCGTCCCACGAGGGATGCCTGCATTAGTAAAGAGTGGCATTTACAAGGTTAGGGGGGATGAATTTCAGTTTTAGTCTAAGGATGGGACAAAGGTGAGATGAGACTCATGCATTCCTTGTCTATGTGTTTTGAGCAGTTTCTTTGCTTTTACCTTATCATTGCTTCAGATTTTCTTCCTCTTTTTTTTATAATTATGCTTCTATAATGTAGGGTTTGTTTGGTGCAGCTGCAGTTTATTAATAAGCTGCTGCGCAGCAATTGTGGTAGGAAGCGGCTGCAGCAGAAGCTGCTGCAGATAAGCTGATCGTCTGTTTTTTTTTTTGCAGTGTGAAAACAACTGTGCTGCAGTTGTTTCTGGGTAAGTAATTATTTTACTTTTGTATTATAATGTTGTTTGCAATAGAATTGTTCATGCCAGTGCATTTTATATTTGAAAGAAAATATCAAATACATAACATTACACAATAAAGATAGACACATCACTAAGTAGTGGATGCATCATTACCAAAATTAAGAAAAAATCTATTAAAATAACAATTAATAATATGATAAAATTATTTTTAAAATGCAGATAGAGATAAGCCGTCCTCCAGGGAAACTCTATGCTCGATCACTCTCGGCAGTGAAATCTTCTTGCTCATCTGCTCACTTGAAATAGACATAATTTTTCTGTGATTCTTCTTAAGCACCTGTAAAACTATCTCCCGTAGCTATGTAACTGCCACACAGTGGAATCTTCTTGCTCATCTGCTCACTTGAAATAGACACAATTTTTCTGTGATTCTTCTTAAGCAACTGTAAAACTATCTCCCGTAGCTATGTAACTGCCACGAAGTAAGCAGTAAACTTTGTAGTCTATAGTAGCAGTGCAATCCTCTAGAGGTACCGAAAATCCCTGAACTCTTTTTTTAAGACTTAAAAACACATACTCTTAGATATAACACTAGTACAAATTGATAACAGAAGTAACTAATTAAAGTTGTATGCAGCTGTGAGGTCTCAAAAAACTCAATATATAAGTCAACGAATCTGTAACTATAAGATGAGAGTAAATTTTATAAAAAAAGGGTTATTGGTTGTCTTTAACCCACGTAATATCAAGCTCGTGTATGTCAGATATGCATATCACTCAAAAAAAGGTTATTTAGAAGAACCTAAAAAACCATAACACTGAAAAAGGAGATGAGTTTGATTGCCTTATTATGATTTCACATGTGACACTAACCAATAGTGACATACAAACCATCTAAAAGAACCCATACAGTTAAACATTTCATCATACACATCCAAAACCCACAAAAAAGATGTGATATTTAGGATACATATATTACATACGGTTGTCTCATCAGCCATCTAAGTCAGAGAAAAATACATGCAAAAAGAAAAGTCATATTACTTACATAAAAAACGAATACAATAAATATCAAATGCATTAGAAACAGAAATACACATGTATGTATGAAATACAGATACAGTAAACAGTTAATGTTTTCAATAACCATTACAATAAACAGAAATAAAAACTAACATTTCCTGTAATCACCCTCCAACTATAGCATCCGTAATTCTTTCTCTCAAGGTTCTCATCTCGCTTGCACCTTCCTCATGTTGAGTGCAGGTCTCAGGCCTATCATTTTTGGCTTGTGACAAAGACTTTCCAATACGATATTCATACGCTCTTACAGGGACATGTGAATGATTCTCATCTGCCCTGTAGAAATCAATGTCGTTGCTGGAAGATGCCGCCAAATATAATTGTAGAGAGTTATCGTGATAATCACAATCTGCACCTGTTTTGGAAACAAATAAGTTGACATATCGGGAAGTATAATACATTTCTTCTTCCAAACTTCAAATGTTCTCTCAATTACACCGCTTAAATGAAAGTGTCTTTTATTGAACATTGTCGGCTCTGTGAAAGTCAGTTATGTGATATCTCGTATCAGTATAGGGTTTCAGGTATCCTCGTTGCAACGAATATCCAATATCAACCAAATAATATTTATCTGAAGTGAATAGAATGATTAATGTTGAAGTAAGAAAAAACTGGTGACTAGTTTAGTTTCAAGCGAACCTGTGAGTGAATACGAGAAATTGTATTTCCTAGTCCGCGTTGCAAATTTGAAATTCGACTGACATGTGCATTGCCCACCCAACCAGTCATGATAAAAGTGAGCTACATGTTGAAGTCACATACAACCATGACATTCTGCGTCGATGACCCACAAAGATTGATTAATGCGATCTTTTCATTATTTGGAACACGTGCATCCACGTGTGCTCCATTGATTGCTTCAATACGATTCTAAAAAGATAAACAAGGGTTACTTAATGCTATATTCATTTGAAAATTGTATGTAATAAATAAGAGAAATTACCTGAAAATATGGTATATACCGTGCATCATGCGAAATCTTTGTGGGGATCCATTCAAATATAAAATCTGTTGGTTTTTTAACTTGTAATGAAAAACTGATAGCTGCATTCAACTGTACTGATAAATATCTACAAATTATTTTGGAGTGCTGGAGTCGCTCCATAGCTGCTCACATCGATCCATTTTATGATGATATGTAGAGTGTTATTGTTAATACTTCTTGTGAAATCGTCTTGATAGAGTCATGAAGTCCATGATTTCTATGTAGTTTCTTCAGCAGATCGGTGAATATCACCTATGTCATGCGGAACATATTGCTAAACATCGTTGGGTGGCTCGTAAGCAACTCCTCAACCCATTTGTCACCAGCGTACAAGGATGTCATGCGAAAGGAGCGCTCTATGTGGGAATTATAATACTCGTATATCAAACACACTACAACTGCAACTCTCCTGCGTCTTTCTATGTTTGTATCAGTATAATTCAGTGTGAAAGTAGCTAACACATAAGCATCAATGAATTAACTACAATTAGATAATGTTATGAACAAAACCAACAACAACAACAACAACAACAACAAAGCCTTAATCCCACTACGTGGGGTCGGCTACATGAATCCTTTTTCTCCATTGCGTCCTATTTAGTGTCATATTTTCATTTAGTTCTAGTAAATTAAGATCATTTTTAATACAATAAGCCCAAGTCTTCCTAGGTCTACCTCTGCCTTTCTTAACACAAGTCGAATTTAAAACATCTACTCTCCTAATCGGATCATCTAATGGTCGACGTTTAATATGACCAAACCATCTAAGACGACTTTCTCTAATTTTGTCTGTCACAGGAGCTACACCAACCCTATCACGAATATATTCATTCCGCATTTTGTCTCTAAGTGTAAAGCCACTCATCCACCTAATCATTCTCATCTCGGCAACACTTAACTTATTATTATGCTTCTCTTTTAAAGGCCAACATTCAACGCCATAGAGCATTGCAGGTCTCACCACCATCTTATAAAATTTTCCTTTCAGTCTTAGCGGTACTTTTCTATCACACAAAAGGCCCGAAGCATTCCTCCACTTCAACCAACCAACTTGAATTCTACTATTAACATCCCCA